GTTGCCGGCTGGTTTGAAAAATGCAGTGCACTCATACTGGCGAATTTCAAGATTTTCAGTTTTCAAAAATCTTCACAAATTCATCATTTCAATCAATGGATGTTGACACTCACATGAATTACTGTCTGGTGGCTACTGTAGCCTGACAGACAAAATCTATTGACGCCCGAGTATTTTAGCCAGGCCTGCAGCCTTGTAAAAAGAGCCCAGATTGTGCGGTGTTATATAACTTTCTTTTGTTCACAAACCTGGCACAGTGCGCTGCTGACCTCTTTTTAATAGGGGCCAGATTAGCGTGCAGCGGTACTGTGTAGCTTATTGCTGCGGTGGTGGAGCGCATTTGTCCCTGGTTGTAATCCGCTCGCACAAAATGCCAAAACCGTGGTATACTGTTTCAAAACAAGCCTCAATTATTTCCACTATTGAGAGTGAAAAAATGTCTGTAATGCCCAGCAGCTCAGTCTTTTGTTCTGAGCGCTGTCTTTTGTTGAAAGGCTGAGCTCTTTTGTCCCGGTTTCAGGCTCCCCGGCTTCGTATATAAAGCCTACGTGCTCAAAAAAGGGGTCTGCATTGCAGCTCCAGTGGGGAATCTCCTGGAGCCATGAGCCTTAGATCTGGGCTTTCCAGGGTAGAAAACATCAAGACTCTGCCAATATCTGCATGTAACAGTGGGGAAAACAGTGCTGCAACTTGGCCAGTTTGGGACATCAATGTCCATATAACATATGTTAAATAAGTGGCTGGGCTCTTCTGTGAAAAAAATTGAACTGTAGCAGATTTCAGAGAGTTACCATCAATGACTTCCGGGAAAAGCAAATTCAAACAGGATAAGTGCTGAATTAGGAATTGGAAAAGAGCAATAAAATGGGTTTACCTTTGACATAATGCTGAACTTATCAGGGTGCAACTGCCTCTGAAGATTTCTAAATGTCTGTGTGAGCTGTTCAGTATCAATGTCAAAGGTCTGATCACTGCAAGTATTAGCAAAGAAAAATCCTTTTAAAAAATCTGGCAAACTATTTTTGAACCACTCCACAGATGTTAATATTTCTTGAGGTGGCAGACTGGTAAGAAGTGGCAACTGATAGTTTCGGAGTAATTCAAAGTTTTCTAAGACACATACCATAAAGGACTACAACAATTTTCGACTGCTTTCAACAAACACTTACCCTACTTTTTAAACTTGTTCCCCGCATGTAGATACTGAGTACTGAACCCCCTTCCTCACAAAAATGCCCCCTAAAATTAACATGCTCCCCTTTACACTTGTTGGTCTTAGGCCTTCACTAGACACTAACTTGGACAGATTTCTAAAAAAAAAAGTTGGTGCTGAAAATAAAGTTACTAAAAATAATGCATTTACATACACGTAGGCCAACGTACCATAGCATTATCTGAAAGAAGTTTGAATCTGGGTTCACTGGCTGTATAGCATGACAGGAATCACAGAAAAACTGCACCTCACTTTTATGAGCAACTGTGGTCAAGGCATGGCAGTTCCAGCAAGTCCGTGAAACTGAACAGTAATTTCTACGAGCGACACTAGACATGCTACAGCGGGAAACATGATTCCAGTAGTAAGCAGGCTGCAGTATCTGCCTCCGCAAAGCCAACCGATTCTGAGACTCTAGTATGCTTAGAATCACATCTGGAGAAAGCAGTACCAAGGGCGTGCAAGTGCTTTTATGGCTCAATGAAAAATTAGGTCCTCCTGGGCTGGGCATGACATCACATCGTCTCAACGCGTTATTAACAATGCGATCTAACATTATTACACGTGAAGTAACATTGCACTCAACTTCATTGATTTTGCCGTGGATGGGCGAGGAACATTTTGCTCTGCCAGCGGCTAGAGTACGACTGATATCGTCTGTCATGCTAGAATAACTTTGAGAAGGTGTCATGGATGCGTTCCGGATCAGACGGATAGCTTTCAGTTCAGTTTTCACTACTGACACCAGATTAAATACAATCCTGGGCGCAGCCATTTTGATGAACAACGCCCTCTAGCCGGCCCCTTCAAACTTGTATAGGCGCACGCTGCAATCATGGGCGGGCTAGGGGAGTTGGGGATGAGGTGTTGAATCATCCGCTGCACACTCACTGTTTCGTGGTGAGAAAAAAAAACCAACAAGGCAGATTGTGGAGATTATTCAGAATTCAAAACAAATGGAATAGGCCCTAGCACTGGGATAACCATAGGAGCCATGTAATATTCTGAAGGAACCAACACATAATTACGAATGTGCATCTGTATCATGAACATCGCCCTCATTATGATGTCAGTCCCTTCCCTCGTCCCCAATGAAGTTTTCATGGCTGGGCTAGTCCTCCCCCACCCACCCCCCACATTTTTGACACAAATTTATACCACTGGCTTTGAACAGTTTGTTTTAATATTGTGTGAATAGTATTCAAATTCGTGAACGTGCATTCACATTCGAGCGATTTCTCGAAGCCCGTTATTCCCGTGGCTCATTCAATTTCGTTTGTAGACTTTCAAGGATTCAATTGTAGTAACACTTACATTCAATTTCACGATGCACAAGCGTCACTCAGTTTCCCTCTGGGTGACTGGGAGACGGATTCGTACCCAAATTTTACTTTCATTTTCGTCAGTGGGCACTCATATTCGCAATGTAAGATTTTAAAATTATATATACGTAGCCTGGATTTTGGAGACAATATAGAAGTTTCTGTATAATTATGATATACGTACAGTTCAAGAAACTTCTTGATCGCTTGTGATTTTTGCCCTTGACCTTTATTATCTCAATGTTTTCATTTAAAATATAAATATAACTGCTTGGGAAAATATCGAATTTTTATTTTTTCTTTTAAAGTAGAAAATTTCGGATTACACGAAACCAACTAATTTTTCTTTCTCATCATAAATCTTGACCTTTATTATCTCAACGTTTTCATTTAAAATATAAATATAACTGCTTGGGAAAATATCGAATTTTTATTTTTTCTTTTAAAGTAGAAAATTTCGGATTACACGAAACCAACTAATTTTTCTTTCTCATCATAAATCTTCATTATTCCAAGGTTGACTACCAGTTCTAGGTAATCATGACCATTCCCCTCAAATGCTTTAATCAAACGACCACGATCAACATTGGATATTCTTGTGTAGCGAGCACAAGCTGCTGCCATCTTGTTTCAACGTTTCTCCCATCAAGGTGATTAGTGTATTAGGAAAGATTTCTTTGCCAGTGAAACACGTTTTCGTCATGATGTAATTTGAATAAATTATTCAAACCTAAAACATTTCAAAATTTATAATTTACACTTGGATGAAAAACATAAATTGCACGGATGTCAGATATGCTTGCCTATTCACGAAATCGCATGCCTTTTACAAGTACCACCGAGTTACCATGCGAATTTGACTGCTGTTCCTAGGATTTTCTAAATTGAATAGCGGCTTAAACTTTGTTTATTTACAAGAATTTGCAATCGCAAATCGCGAATGGAGTTAAATTGAATGATTATTTTGGCTGGTTGAATGTTGATCTGGATCGTCAGTCAATTTCGCGCTAAAATGAACGAGCCTAACGTTAATTGGAGCGCCAATTTAAAAAAACAAAATGCGCAGGAAAACCTATACATTCAAAATGCACCATTGTGTTTCATTTTAACCTTATTTTAACATTAATGTTTCACTACTTCAAAGAGTATTTTACTGCCCTTTGGTTTCATGCTAATGAGTTTTTCTATATTCATGAGCAAACGTGTGATGTCATCCCAGGGAAGAAAGCTTCAGTGTTACATTGATTTGTAAACAAACTTGAAAACTCACACATTTTCAGACTTTACTTTTGCTCGGCCAGCCAGGTCTAAAGATAATTAACAGTCCTCAATCCTCCACTAATTGAAGGATTATCGGGCGTAATTCTAACACGAGACTAGCAATAGCCAGCCACTAGGTTGGTGGCATTCGCCACTGGGTCACTGCAATTGGGTCACTGCAAAAAATGGAAATTTCGTTATTTCTCAATTGTAAAATAAAAAATCCAGTGTCCGGGAAAAATAGCTGGAACTTTTCATAGGTGTCTTTTTTCTAAAGATTTTAGCATTCGAGGTCGATGCGTTCGTTATAGAACAAAAATGTCATCCTCAAACACCGTTAGGGTTGTTCTTTCATTTCAAACACACACTGCCACTTTCTGTTGTAAGTACAACTCCGATAAAATCTATTATTCGTGTTTGATCACATGAAGTTACTGCTACGAAAGTTAAGTAAGAATTTCATAATTTGAAAGAGCGCTGTCAGTTCTTTTCAAGACGTACCGAAAAATTAAGAAAACGGAAACGTGTTTTCCTGAGAAACAAGATTGAGGTACAGGTACAGGTATTTCCAGGTATACAGGTAATACAGGTATTTAAAAAACCCAAGATCATTCGGGAACAAAGTACACCCGCGTGAGTTCCCGTAGGGCCACACTAATAGGGTACATCTTCAAGAGAGTCAACAGGCGGCGCTATTTCGGTCCAATTGTGCACTGTTTTCTATTTGGTGTAGTGCATCCTCAATGGATGGTACTCACCGCCGAGTATCTGGAACGCGTAACTTATTTATTCCAGTGTGTATGCGTACACTCAGGACGCGTGCAAAAACCCGCTTGCAACCACCTGTCTTTCTTTCACCGACTGGGGTGCACTTCAGCTAGGGGCGGATTGAAATATCGAACTGGTTCGTTTATAGACCAAACGAGGGCGTCCTGCCAACTTAACGGTGTGGCTTCTTCCCTCCACGTTCATTGTGTCCGTGTGTTAGATGAGGGCTGAATTGAGGGGGCAGACCACTAATTCAAGTGAGAATTTCTGATCAGCTCATTAGCATTAAAAGAGCCCCCCAGTATCTTTAGAAAAAGGAGATTGTTTTGCCCCCAAAATGGTGAGTTTGTGAAATCCTTGACAGAATCAACTCCCTGGGTCTTTGAGCTTTCATATGAGAGCAGAATGGCTAAAAACTACGGTTGAAAAATGGTCCTAAGTGCCCGAGAAAGTTGAGGGTTGCCACTTG